TGATCCTGACGTTCTTGCTCAAGAGCCCAATGTGCGCCTGGTTGCACTCTATGACAATGAAGAGGTTAGTGGTAAGCTCTTTTTTCTGGATAGGAAGTCAAAGGAGCCTTTCCTGTTCCTATTCCTAAAGGGATACTTACTGTAACATGGTTAAATCTAATAGACCACATGGTTTGGGAGATTTTTTTGACCACTCTTTCAACCCTTTGACATCCAAAACTGATGAGAGATCCTAGCTGGTGATGCAATGAGTTAACTAGAATGGGACCAAAAATTTCAGCCCGGGAGTGGGGGTAATTTAAGGAATGAAATGAGTTTCTTTAAGTCTCGTCTCTTAAGCCAGTCCCAGATTGTGCTGATTTAGAGGATGGGGTGAGCATTTAAAAAAGAGGTCTGAAGCCACCACCCAAAAGAAGATTTAAAAGGTGGATGTCAGAAAAGAGTGCAAAAGAGTAGCACGTTGCCCACAGTGACCTTATCAATCACAAGGTAGGGGGATTGTGGACAAAATGAACTACAGATAAGAAGCAGCAGCAGAACTGGAAGTAATAAGAAGGGATAAAGCTGATCTCCAAATTGGGATGGCAATTAAAATTCTGGTAGCATCAAAACGCTTCTTGATACTTCACCTTTTGAATACATCTTTGTGGCAGGTTGGTTCAGAAAGCGCTCAAGGGGCTGCCTCCCTCCTCACGGAGCTTATTCTTCATCGCATTTCATCTTCGCCCCAGAACCTTACAGCATTTGAGTGCCCAAATCGTGCATAATCAGTGCAGATATGGCTCATGCAGTGTACCCCAATTATGTGTAAGTGTTTTGTCCTTACTACACGTTACTGTGTGCAGCTGGACATGCAACTGAACCCACCTATCCTCCAATAAAACAGACCGTGTGCATAGATCTGAATGCTTTATTAAAGGAACAGGATGGGTGAAACTGGGGAAAAATAGAAATACATATAATAAAAATCAAATACAAATAGGGTTGCCAGGTGTCCACTATTTGAGTGGACGGTCCACTTTTTTCACATTATGTTCACTATTTTTTTTCACAAAATAGTGGACATTTTTTTTATTCAAAAGCTTTATGATGAAATGGTACGTAATCTAAAGCTGTACAGTCTACTTTTTTTACTACTTAACCCCCCCCCCCCGCTTGTCCGCTATTTTTTGGAAGCAGACCTGGCAACCCTAAATACAAAATAAGCAGTATTGAGTTGCTGGTGAACATAACAATTAACAAATATAGATAATCTAAATCTCACCAGCCATAATGTGTGTATGGGATGTAGGTTTTGTCCTCAGATGACCATGTGCCACAGCTTAGGCTAGATTCTTCCAGATGCTTCTGCTTCCCTCCAAATGTTAAAGAAAATGGAGTCTGGCTTCCCAGCATGCACTTGTTCTGGAAGTGAGGGTTCATGGGTAAAGGGGTTGGCTTCAAAACAATAGATTGATATTTGCTCCCCAGGCACAGCATGAGATAGTGTACCAGGGCTGGGGAAGCATGTCATTCAGTATTGGATATTCTTATATACATTTTGTCACAAGGATGCTTGCTGCTTTCAAAAAATGTATTTTCATTTGTTACCCACAATTCCATCCTTCAGATTGTATGAATCTTAACAGGGAAAGCTACTTGAATAATAAAAACCTCAGACTCTCTTGTAAGCTGCCTGTTGTACTTTTCCCATGTCTGAAGAGGCAAAGGGCTATTTAAAATCTCCTTATCACTTTGGGTTATTTGTATATCACAGGGTAGATGACTGATACTCCTCTCCAAATTATAGATGATTTCCCCAATATAAGGTATGTATGTATGTATGTATGTATGTATGTATGTATGTATNATCCAGTGACCTCTGTGCAGTTCAGAGGCTTGCTGAGTTTTGATTTGTTTTTCTGTCTCGCTTCAGAACAGAAATTACCTCCTAGTCATATTTACACTATTATGGCTGAGCCCGAGAGGCATAAAATAACCTTTGAACCCTTCTTTTTTTCTGTCAACAGTAAGACGGTGAAATTTAAATACTGGGCCCCAGAATAATTGTAATATTTCAAGTGAGAAGTAAAATTATAGATGACATTCTGGTGTTGGTTAAATGCCAAATGATGCAGATCACAGTTTCTCCTTCCATTCCCACACCCCCTGCTTACACAGGCTGTGTGAAGTTAGCAAGGCGATGCTGACTCCTCAAGTAACATACGAAGGTCACGTATGCAGAACTGCTCCACATAGATTACGTTCTTAGATGACCGTTTTAAGTATGCAATCAGATTGGAATGGGAGGGTGGGTCTATTGCATATTGTACTTCTTTGCATATCTCAAAAGATTTTAAAATATAGCTGTGTGGGGAAAAGAGCAATCCAGAGTCAGAAATCTGGCTGATACTAACAGAAGTAGTGCTACAAAGATGCTGGCAGAACATTTCCTGCCACTGTCGCCCCATTCTATTCATCTGTTATCACAGATGAGCGTTCCCAACCTGATACTCTCTAGGTGTGTTGATCCAACTCCCTAGTTCTCTAGCCAGCAAAAGTATAGATTTTGCTGACAATTTAGTGGTATCACAACCAGTTTATAATCGGTCTTTGTGACCTCTAGAAGATATTAAGTGGCATACAAGACTGAAGGAAAATTTCTATGACCTTTATGGTTTTTTATTTTACCACCATTGAGAGTAAAAAGCCAATATGGTATGCACTACCTTACAGTCAACATCCAGCTTGAGAATACAAATAAAACTCCAGGTTCGTTCCATCTCTGAAAATCTGTTTATTGAATACACTGCATTTTAATGTTGAAGCAAAAGTAACTCTAAGGTTCCAACACCAAATCATAGACTTAAAAAATAATTTTCCCAGCCAAACCCCCAACATCTTACGTAGTCCATATAAACAAGTTTGCTTTGTTATGGGAACCGTCTGCTTCAAATCCACACTTGTTATGGTGTCCTTGAAAAGGTTTCAGGCTCTCACGGTCTTCAGCGGAATCATAGAACTTTTGTTTCTTCATCTAACCCACTTGCTGTGACAAACTGAACTGAAGCCACTTTCATTTTGTCTTCGTTGCCACATTTTAGTTTAGAGATTTTAGATGAAGGAAGAGGGGTAGGGGATGTGTAGTTCTCAGTTAGCCAAAACAATTCATATGTGTGAGAATCAAGGTCAGTGCTGATATTTTGGCGGGCTGGGGAGTTGGGAGGAGGCCCGCATTTTGCAACAATTGTTGAATGTGATTTAAGACAGCAATTTGGGGTGGGAATTGCAATAGTAACTTTGCAACCAAGGGAAGGGGATTTTTAGTCTTGGGTTCACCTATGTATGTGCCAATATTTTGTTTCCTAATAAAATATATCTTTAAGGAAGAAATTTTGCCTTGAAGTTCTTTTAAATAGGTTTAAATGGTTTCATCTATCGGAACCTTTACACCACTCAAAAGTAACACCTCCCCCTTACTCTAAAGGCAACTTAAAATGCAGAGGCACATAGCTGCCATAGTTTCATCCTTGAATTGACATAGTGTCCATCTCACTGCTTGGGCAGTTCTAGGTAGCTGTTAATAGTAATTATAAATAATTTCAGATTAGAACCATTAGATCTCACAGCCACAAGGATAAATGATAAGTGGGTTACTCCAATCACTCATGGTACTACATATGAACTCTTCAGCATATGAGATTTTTTACAGCTGCTTCTCTGTTGCCTTTCAAAGTGAAATTAAATTGATTGTAAGGAACCCTGTTTAGTTGCCTATCAAATTCTTAGAATCACAGAGTTGAAAGGAGTCATGGTGGCAGTCTAGTCCCAATGACTGATTGTCCTCAGCAATTGATTCCCGTTAGACCTTTTCCTAGAGTTAGAATGAGTTTCCTAACATTGACTTGAAATTTGTCTTCTTACTTCAGGATTGAATAGATGGACAAAAATTCTTTAATGGTTGAAATTTCAGTTGGCAAGAAGCCAAAAGCATTCTTGGGCAATGTCATATTTTGTTTGCTATCATTTTCTTAAGTGTGTTTAAATGAAAAATTGGGTGCTTTTTAGAGACATGTCTGCAATTGAGTTATCACCCATCCCAATTTGAGGGCACGGCAAAACAGATCTAACGAACTGACAATAGCTTTGTTCCAGTGTCATATAAGGTAGATCATCTGAAGATTAAAAAAAACCTTCCTTCCAGTTCCTCTCAATCACTAAATTAATTGGTAAAATAAAGCAATGTATTGAATGAATACTGAAGCAGTTTAAAAAGGAAGCAGATTCATAAAGGATCCTATCAAGGGCTACAAATAGGCAAAATGCTAAAAATATGGATCCTTGCATTTCAGTATCTTGAAGAATGTTTAGATGTTAATCCATGGCTCTTTTAAGCCTAATGCATTTAATATTGCCGCTCTGGGTTTGCCAGTTTTAGGGCCTAAGACCAAGACGTTCACCCTCTAACTGTGTGCCATGTGAGAAATGGTAGGTATTGTCGACCTTCAGCTTCAGGGCTGCATAAGCTTAGAAGAACTACAGATATATGTTGAAGCTTCAAATGAGCAAAATCTAGGCTGTGCTTAATGCCTGCCTGCAGGAGGTATAATTTACCATTTCCCTGCATTGTGGTTGATGCAGGGAAACATTATTAACCAGAAGGGCGTCAACTTAGAATGTTAATGCCGTTGATTGGAAGAGGCGTTGCCAGCACTTGGGAACGCACTAGGTATAATAGCAGGTGGGAGAGGTGAGGCTTCATTTTTAATACGGAGGCGTAACCCTAAAAGTCGGGCGTGGCCAGGGATAGTTAAGCCCCGCGTTTCGAATTCAGGCGTGTCCTGTTCCTGGCCTCTGATAGGCTGATGGGGCCGAGAATCCATTTTGCATGGGTCTTGAGATTGGTTGGTTTGCGGGGCGGTGCTGTGCCAGTGTTGGTCTGGAGGGGGCGCTGATTAGGGATGGTGCAGCGGCCGTGGAAGTGGCGGCTGCCCGGGCTGTGAGCTGGGGCAGCGGCCGGCATGGGGCGGTGGCGGAGTCTGCTTCGGGCACTGGACGGTTTCTGCCTTTCTCTGCTGCTGCTGCTGCTGCTGTTGCCGCCTCCGTTCTTGGCGGCCGGCGCTGCTGGAGATCGCTCCTTGCAAGTGCTGCACGGTGAGAATTGAGGATGAGGATGCGTATTGAAAGGGGCTGCCGGGAGGGAGGGAAGATGCCAAAAGGGGACCGGGTAGACTTGGTTGGGATGCTCGGAGCTGGAATTGGTAGGATGAATCGCCCCCCCCCCCGGGGTCTCTACAGTCGCCTGGTCCGTGTCTCCGCTTTTTGCCCTTTCTAGCGACCAGCCATAGCTCCTTTGCTTCCATATGGTTGAATGGAGTTGCACGCCCTTATCTATTCCACGCCGGACAGAGGTGATTTTTCTCTTTCCCCCCCCCTCTATCTGCGTCCCCAGAATAAACTTGGTGGGGGTTTTTTTTCCCTGGGGAGGGGGGCGTTGGGAAGCGTCTTTTTGCTGGGTGGGATGAAACGGTGCTTTTGAGCACTAAAGATGGTGGGGATTTGGGGGAAAAGGGGGTTCACTGGGCAGAAGGGCGGGGAAGTCTCCCACCTCTCCCCTTTTCTGCAGGCTGCTGCTTTCCTGGAAGCGGCGGCAAATGGGCACCTTCCTTCTATTAAAAAAAAATGCATCCGTCAGAAGATCCGGCACCAGCTCCTTGAAAACGGAACCGAACCACTTCTCCGGTCCTGGTGGGCTGAATCCCACGCTATCTCCCCACCCCTTTTCCATCTTGTTTTGCCCCTGAGAATATTGGGGGGGGGTTTCCCCCGCTAGGCGAGTTAGCACCGCGCAGCTTCCTTTTTTTTCCCCCTTGCATCTCCCCTCTCCTTTTTGCTGTTGCATAGGCTAATATATTCCCCCTCCCCTCCGCTTTTGGGGCGAGTTTTCCCAAGTGCGGATTCAGGCCCCCTCCTTGCAAAAGGAATATTGTCACCATTTTGCGTGGCTGCTTGTCATGTTCGCGTCACAGCGTTGTCAGGTTTGGCTAGCTGCGTGTCTCCCACAGCCCCTCCACACGCAGCTTTCTGTATTCATTTACAGAGCAGATCCCTTCAACCCACTCACCCACCCACCCACCCCGCATACGCCGTGTTTTCCTGCTCAGTCAATTCACTGACGTCATTCTTGATGGTCTCTTCATCCCCCCTCCACTTTTCCATCCTGGCCCAGCTGCCTGTTGCAAATATCAGCTGTTCCGGCTTCTTCCTCCCTCCCTTTCTCTCTGGCTGCTGCTGCTGCTGGAGATCGCTCAATTGTTGTTGAGAGGGAATTCCTGTTTGGAATTAGTTCTGCATCTCTTCCCTTCCTCACTTATGCCAGAGTAACTATGAAACACTGAAGGATTTTGACGTTGGAATTTTTCCATGTCTGATTGTTCATCTTTGCTACCTTGTAGGTATCCTGTAGATCCCTTGCATGAGGTTGTTGCAAGCAAATCCATGCTCTTTGGCTTAGGATTGTTCAGTTTGGGTCACTAGTGCAAAAAGTCACTCCAGGGATTTTGTAATATTAACTGTGATGAGCTCCAGACAGTGTAGACAATGGTTAGGATTTGGGGAGCTGTAGTCCAAAATATTTAGAAGAGCCAAGTTGTCCTACCCTTACCTTAGAAACTACAGTGACTCTAATTGAAGAGGCATGGCTGAACCATTATATAAAACTGGTACAGACTACAGAGAAATAATCATTTCAAAAATCTTTTTGATTATGAATCCAGTTTTAGAATTAGCAAGAGGGTGAGATTTTGTCTATCAAGGAAGAAAATGTTAGCAGATGGGCCCCAGCTACCACATCACATTCAGGAAGGATGTACTAAATCAAATATACTTAACCCTAAAGTCCTACTTCGATGCTAAATACATTCCTTTTTGAAGAGAGCTATATTGAAAATGGTGTATTGATGGAGAAAAATGTTGAAAAGCAAATACTTTTCTTTCCACAACATCTTATGAAACAGATCCCAATGAAGTCGTACAGAAATGTTGCTGTAATATGAGAAACAAAAGGAGCAGGCTTCTAAAAGTAAAATATATAAGAGCTGAAATTCTTCATTAATATAAATATTGACTAGATCTCGTGGGAAGATATGTGTCCCATTTGGTCTCTTCTCTTCCACAAATCCAGAAACTTAACCATCAGCTTGGATATAACACAGCAGGGTGGATGATTGTGTATAGCTATAGTTTCTGCAGAGAAACTGACCAGTGCTTCCATCCAAACTCTCTCTTGCAGAAGTAACAATCTGGATTGAAAAATGATGATGGGACTAAGAAGTGGGCATTATTTCTTTGCTTGTGGCAGATTGGTTGATGTTATTGCCCAATGAGTGCAATAATAATACCGATAACAAAAAAAATAGTAATACTGATAATGAACCTTCATGGTTGATCACAGTCTTATTCTGTATATCTTTACTGAACCAAAATAAAAAAAGGTGGATGTTGTAAGAAAGTGGCATGCCATGGACCAGTACCGGGCCGCGGCATGCCAGCAACCAGGCCACACAAACAAGTGAAACCCCATCTGTGGGATGCAGGCAGCACACAAAACCACGCTCCCTCCAGTCCACGGAAAAACCTCTCTTCACGAAACCGGTTCCTGGTGCCCAAAAGGTTGGGGACCTCTGTTGTAAATGAAAGAACTTTTGGTAGCATACATGTGGCAGAATCATATCTTTTATTTCTGCTGAAAGATTTATGGTCAACATTTGTATTATTCTAACTTAAGATGGCTGAGAAACTTTTTACTTTTCTAAATATTATTTCATACTCTCCCAAAGAGAGTAAACATCCTTTTGCTGTCCTTAGGCCAAGACTCTTACTGAGTAAATTTTCTTGGAATGGCTCATTGACAGGATCTTGATGTTAATTCTTTGTGGCATTATTATTCTTTAGCCAGGCCAGTTACATCTGACAACTGCATTCTACACAGAATGATTTAGGTAAAAATAATAATTGCAAATAGCTTTTTAAGTGGTTAATTGCTGTGATTTCTGCATAACTACTAGATAAACAGAATAATCTTGGTACCCACTTGGTACCCATGTAAGAGGTACCTCAGCATGCTTAACTGAGTAACCCAGACCTGAATAGTAGGTTACTATTTCATCAGATTACATTCACTGGTGATGAGAGTCAGGCAGGGAAGAGGAGCAAGAAGTAATTTTTGAACAGCTCTAATGATATAGTAATATTATGAGCTACAGCAGCCACAGTTAATATGAAATAATACGGGTCATTATTAAAAAAAATCATTTGAGATTCCAAAAATGGAAGAGTTGCTTTCCCTCTTTTCTATGATGACTCGTTCTTGAACAAATGTTTTTCCTTTAATCAAACATTGGTAAATGCTATCACGGCCTTCAACATTTTGACTACAAGCCATATTTTTTTCCCAATCCATTGGCTGCAGTTATGTAAATGCCACACATACATATTCACACATGTGCTATTGGGTTTACATTTCAACATGGTGGTTGCATGAAATGTTATTGCCACCTAAGGCATATGAGCATTAATATACATATCAACAACAGGTTTGGTTATAGCCACTAAGGAATATTTATTTATTTATTTATTTATTTATTTATTTATTTATTTATTTATTTATTTATTTTATTAAACTGGCTGTAAGCCGCCCTGAGTCCTCCGGGAGAAGGGCGGGGTATAAATGAAATAAATAATAAATAAATAAATATGAGCTTTAATATACATATCAACAGCAGGTTTGGTTATAATATTATGCTGCTACATTAATGCATTGCCTTGATTTCCATTCCATTTCAGTGGATAGTGTCTCTGGCAAAAAGGCCAGATTTAAAACCAGGAAATTCTTCCTTCTTTTCAAGCACATATGGTTTTAGCAAAATGCTTTAAATAGAAGATATCTGATGAAGGGTTCCTAAAGGCCTTTTGCTATTTTGTCTTGCAAGCATGGAAGGACAGGGCTCAAGCTGGAGACCCCAAATCGGCAATCCATAGCTTGTCAAGCCTTAAAACCCTGCTGCCTCTAAATATTTTCATTAATGATTTAAAAGACTCCAAGCAGTCAAAGAGAAATGGCGGATACAGTAAACCAGGAGTTCTTGCACTGTACCAAGTCTCACCTTTGTATAGATGAGGCTTTTTCCCCCTCTAGCCCTGAGTTCTCCTTGTGTCCAATAGATATCAGAATTTGGAGAGAGGAAACCCAAGCTCTGTTATGAGAGCCTACACTGACTGGTAAGCAAAAATAAAGAGGATGTTCTTCCCAAATGAGCTGGGTGCAGTGATTCCATGTTTACTTTTTTGACTCTTGAGAAATGTGGACTTCTTTCCATCATTCCTTTTAATGAATAGTTTTTTTGGGGAACCTTCTTCTAATAGCTCCCTCCCTCCCTTTCTTCCACATAATAGTAGCCAACTCCCGAGTCAGGCTGATCAAATTAATTCAAGATGTTAATTTTTTTTTAAAAGGGCAACACACAGCTACTTCATTTTTAAAAGTATGAACCAGGATCCACAAAGCACAGTCTTGACTGGTGGAAAGCTTTTGTATGTTTTTGACGTGATCGTGGTTATTCCTGTGGGCATTTGGGGATACCAAAAATAGTATATACCAGTTTCTATTTGAATTTTGCAGTTTTGCTGCAGGCACTTGAAATCCCAAGAGACAAAATTATGGCATGATTGAAATTAATGAATAAACAGGAAATCTGGGGAAAGATGAAAAATACAGGACTGATGCTACATGAAGCTTGGAGCCTGTTTTGATAGAAGTACAGTGTTCATACTTGCTTTACAATACTGGAACATCATTGTCTTTTCGCCTTATTTTATGACTGAAAGCAGCCTGATCAATTGGCAGATGGAAATAATGGGGATTAATTGGAACAAAGCTCTAGTGTGATATAACTCCTGCTATTTTACCAACCCTGGAGAGAGATTTCCTTCCTTAAATCAAGCATGTGGGACTACCCAACAGTAGAGAATCTCCCACTTTAGTAACGGATAGGCTACACTTGGTCAGACAGAACTGGCATGCAGCTGAGGAGTGGGGGGGGGAGTAACCTAGACTCTTGCTTCCACTCAAGTACAAGCTGCCACCACAGGTAGGA